CTAGGAGACAATGGTGACAAGAAAGGTATTGAGTATAGAAGTGGAATGAACCCCCAACCATCACTAAATACATATACCGAGGAAGTATTACTAGGCTTTTACCACTTACTGAAGACAGAACATGTAGTGCTATGATAATTTTCACTAGAAAAAAACTTACAGCATTGTAAAATATTCCTCCTAAAGAATACCTGCAGGAAAGAATAGGGACATATGAACTGTTATAACATATGAATGAAATCAAAGGCCTCATACATAAAGCGAGTTATCACTTTGTCCCCCTTTGTACGTGGACACTAATGACATAAATAAATGAACAAACAGCAACAATAAACTTTATCAATAGTCCTTCCAATCAACAGCATATGTCCAGAACACTTGGCTTCATAAAAGCATTTATCACAAATTTTAAGAAAAGTACAATTCTTTCTGGCTCATCCTCACCAAAAGACAACACAGACATATACAGAGAAAACAGTATTAATGAGTTATTAATTTTCCTTATGTGTCTGTATTGTAACTTTTGAGTACTTCAGTTTTTATGAGATCTCAATGTAATGAAAGCAGAGATTTTTAACTTTATCTTTCCTTAACAGACATTCACATGAATTACAGTAATATATGTCAAAGTGCAAAAGTTAATACAAACGGAAGCTAATACATAAACTGAATATTTATTAAAGCTTTGTATCTATAGGAAAAATTGGTAACATATCCTTACAACTATAGTTATAGGATCCTAAGGCAGTACTGTAGTAACAAATGCAATCAAAGACACCAATGAAATTGAAACATGAGCAGGAAATCAAATTCAATTAATTTCTTCAAGATAAACTCATGTCAGATGCCTGATTTCTGAGCCCAGATCCCACTCTTAATAACTCTGACACTTAGTAGTAAATCAGTTACCATAATCTCTGTATATCTATATTCTCAGCTTCAAAAAATGGGAATAATGCTACCTCAAATTTGTGGGGGAGAATTAATAAATTTACAGCGCAAAGTACCTAGAAAACACTCAGCACTTGTTAACTATTATAACCATAATTCTAATCATCTCGGAAAGCACCTTCCTATGGGCAAGAATCAGAAACCCAAGTACTATACCAATGAATTTTGCATTTAATTAATAATTTGGAGGTTATAAGACTACTTGAATATGGAATTGGAAAATGCACAGTTCAAAAGGGATTTAGAATGTATAGAGAAAGAAAAAGAAAAAAGGTTTAGAATATGTGGAGAAAGAAAAAGAAAAAAAGTTTTAAAAAAAACGAAAAGGGGAAAAAATGATGTGTCCACAGAGATACTAAATTAAACTAACTCGGACTCTGGAAAGAAAATAAAAACATGGCTGACATGAATAATTCACTTCCTGAAAGTACAGAATAACACCTTTATGCAAAGTTAGCTTAAGAAACTTCAAAGAAAACATGTATGCAAGTTTATTTGCATTTTGTACAAGTTTATTTATAAACTTACACATTTATAAACCTTATGCAAGCTTATTTAAAGTACAACAGTGATTTCCAACAGGCAATATAGCTAAAATGACATGTTAGGCTACTACTAATATCTTCATTAAAGAAACTTTCCTCTTGTTTGTTTATTTTATCATATTTAGCTGCTGGTTGCCATAATATTTACCAAATGAAAGTCTGTCCTCAGATCCCAAACTTAAAACATAAGTATAATCTAACAATGAAATTGCAATCTAGTATAATTACACTTTATCACAATAATGAATCAGCTATGAGCCACTGTATTTTCAGAAAACAAAAAGGTTTTGTATCTAATGTCTTCAACATGTGATTTATCCATCTTTAGTAATTTTCATACTAGTACATAAAACCTATGAATTTGAGAATTAGTGCATTTGTATTGCAATGATAAGCATTCTACATCTAAAAGGGAGCTAATTCACTACCATTCTCAACACATTGTAACTCCTACTCCAAAGAAAACGACATTATTTTGGGCAGATGTCCGGAGAATAAAGACTTTACTTTGACATTATTCATTTAGAAAATGCTTTAATGCTTTGTAAAGATTTTATGAGCAGTGTCTTCATGTTTTAAAAAAAACATACCCCTAGAGCTCTGGAAGTGGTACATGTAACCGAGTTTTTCTAAGTAAAAGAAATGCCTAAGCATAAAGGTAGTAGCACGTGTTACTAAATCTAATTTTAAAGATTTTAAGAATATACACCAGAGGGGGGAAAAAAACAAGAGTTGTAATTATCTTAGGGTTTAGGTTTCATGGTTCTGTTCATTGGGAATCCTGAACCTGAACTATTTTTTTAAGGAGAAAAAAAACCAAACAGTTCCCAGCATATATTGTATTCAGTTTATATTGCAAACTTTGGACAACATGCTCAGATGCTAGAGAATTATCCTTGGGAATATGGTGGTCCTGCTAGGCAAAGAAAATCTGAATTAGATTATACTAAAGTCATTTGATATGTTTAGTTTTTTAAAACTTTTTCTATTAATTTTTCTGAGCACTGTTTCTACTTCTTTTTCCATAAATGCAACATTTCTCTGCAGGAGTTCATTTTTCATTTTTCTTTATTTCCTGTCCATCCCATTGGACAAGCAACTCAGTTTACTTTTGTTTTACTTTTATAACTCACAGAAATATCATAAGTAATGTAAAAATTTCAACCTTTTTCATTACGAAAACCATTTTTCCATCAGTATCAATCATTTTAGGTTTTCTTAGAAATCCACCTTAATTAAACAAGCGTAACAGTAATTTCTCTGCACATATTTGTTCAAGTATATATTCCCTTCACAGAACTAAAGGACAACCTACTCTTTTTTTTAAATTCCCCTTCAAATTAAGCAACTTTGTTAAAAAAAAAAAAAAAAACCCAGAAAGGAGGGATTAACAGCAAAAATAGAGATCATTTCTTATATTCCAGTGAATGTGCAAGCAAAATCACTGAAGCAAATCATAGATTGCTAGAAGAGATGAAAACAATAAATCCTTCCAGACCAGGATGTGCTACTTGCCTTCTATGGCAAGCAAACTTCAGTGGTGTCATTAGCCTGCACTCACATATTTAAGTGCTATAAATCTAGTGATCAAAACTACCAATCCTGGACCCTGAACAATCTTTTTTTTATTTTCAGTTTTTGGCAGGGGGCTGTGTTTGAACCCAACACCTCCAGTATATGGGGCCAGCGCCCAACTTGAGCCACAGGCACCACCCCGACCCTGAACAATCTTAAACCAACTGGTAGAAATTATGGATCAATGAAATAAATGCAGCTAAAACTCTGACTACAGAGTCAACTAAAACAATTTTATATTGGTGAGACTGTTACAAACACAAATCCAGAGTTATTTTTTTGCTTCCATTTGCAGAAAAGGATTTTATCTTTCTGCTAAAAGTACAGAACAGTTTACATACTTTACTCACTTATGAAATATTTTGATGTCCAAATGTCTCCACAAAAGTAGTACATATATAATACAGTATGTTAAATACAGTCAATTGTTTATTTTCCTATAGCCAAATGTGTCCTATTTGAAATGTTCAAGTTATCCTATGATAACTTTAACAATTGTGGACAATGGTATAAAAAAAAATAAAAATAAATAAAAAACAATTGTGGACAATAGTAATAGCCATTTCCCAAGATTCTGTAGCAAAGTGGTATATTACTTACAGAAGTTACAATATTCAAGAGGAAATGAGAATTTATAGATCACTAGCTCTATAATGGGTCCTATCAATAAACACACTACTGCTACATCAAAATACAGGTATCATTAAAATATATACACCTTTTAAGAGAGAAAAAAACTATTAAAATTGTAATACTGAATATGTATTTGACTTCTGCAACTAGAAGAGGTGTTGAAAACCTCATACTACACGTTACTATCATAATTTAATTCAAATTTGAAAAATAACAGATAACATGGCTTTAAATGTGTATACTTTTTATGGCACACCTGATATTTCTTAATCTTCCCTTTAAAAATAAATACAAGATATTAATTCACCTGCAACCATGTGATTTAAAAAAGCACTTAAAGCTCCAACAATCCAGTCCACTACAAATTCAAAGGAGATATGGTCACATTCTTAAGAGCCCAAAACAAATATTTCCAATTAATAGTGTACTCTCAGTTAATTTCTGAAGTTTCATGGGAAATATTTAGGTCTTTAGAGACTCACACAACACAATTTTTAAGTAGCAGAGTTGCTAATGTTTTTAGACACTGAAATATTTGTATTTCTGAATTTACTTCGACTTATAGAAAGGGAGGAGGCTTGCGAATATTCACGACAACCAACTTCTTTAATTCACTGCTCTATGTATGTTGGGAGTCTTTCTGAAAGTTTTGGATCTATAGTCCCCTCTGAAATCCACAAAAAGAAGGCACCAAAAATCAATTGTTATTGTAATTTGGTGCTGACTATCGCTTCTTACTACTCTTATCTCCACACCCCTCGTTCAGAACAGAGGAGCTCTCCGAAGTCCCAATGCCAGCCCGGAAAAGCAAAGCCAAAGGAGACCTTACATCCTCTTGGCGCCGCAGGAGGCGGCCCGACTGAAGCGCCCCCAGCTCCTCTACAACTACCCACACGTCAGGCCTGGATCCCACTGGGAGAGAATATTTAGGAAAAGAAGGAATAAGCCGTCGCCGTCACTTAATGCCGATCCCAGCCCTTCCCGCCGGGATCTCTTACCTGCCGCTGGCCCTCGCCCATCCCCAGCTCTCCCTGGCAGAGGTTGGCCTCGAAAGGGCAGCCTCCTCTTCATGCCCGTTTCTCATTCCGATAGGCGCTAGGGCCTCTCGTTGGAGACAGCGCGGGGCTCGAGGGGCTTCCTATAGGCCCCAAGTCCAGTCCTTCCTTCCCAAACAACATCCCGCCGAAGGCACCCCGGCACCCAGAAGCGGCGCTAGGGATGAGGAACCCGGGCCTGCCCCCTACCAACGCCGAAAAGAAAAGGGAGGGCAGGGAGGGCGAGAATGGGGCCAAGTACCTTGTAGAAAGCGCCATTGGAACCTCGCACTTCCACCACTAGCTCCTCCATCTTCTCGTCAGCACTGCTCGAGCCCGGCGCCCGCAGCCAACGGCGCTCGAAGCCCTGCCGCCGCCGCCGCTGCCGCCGCCGCCGCTGCCGCCGCCGCCGCGCTTCCGCACGCCCCCCGGCAGCGGCGCCACCGTCACCGTCGCCGCCCGCGCTAGCCGTCGGCCCGCCGCCCGCTCCGAGACAGTCCTTCACCGGAAGTGAAACCGAAACGGAGCCCAGCGCCTGACTGAGGCCAAACGTTCGGCCCGCTTCGCGTGTAAACACTGAAACGAACTCACGTGACCGACACCGCCCCTCCTCCTGCCGGCTCATCTCCTCAGCCCCGCCCTCGCTCTCCTAGCGGGCCAGGCGCGCGCGCATGCGTACTTCTGGGAGCCGACTAGCGTGCCGGTCCCACGTAAGGCGCAAGCTGGGCATGCGCAGGCTCCGCGGAGGGCGGGAAGGCGGGAAGGGAGGTGACAGGTTGTACCGCTTCGCGTCGCCTGGCGAGGACTAGAATGCTCATTTATATCGAGGTGCAAACCTCGCTTGGATTGGAGGGAAATATTTGGTTTGGTTTTTCAAAGAAGTGCAGGGTCCGATTGAGCTGTAGGAGGGTGGAGGATGAGAATAATGGTGAAGGATTAGATTGGAGAAGACTTTGAGCTAGTAACAGTGGCAACCACGGTGACCCTTGGAGGCAGAGGGCAAGGAGTCACGCCCTCCCCATCAAAAGATTTTTGGGTCTGTTCTGTGGAGACATCCTATCCCCTTTCAGGGTCAATGCACTGCGTCAAGACCTCTGGAAATGTTAGCCATTCCTCAGACCCAACACTGACTGACCTACTCCCATTTCCTCAATTCTTACTTGGTTAAAAAAGAATGTGTTAAGCAGTGGTTAATTTCTTTAAAGTGCATTTCTGCCCCTACTTGTATGCCCATCTTGTCTGTACCAGAGGGTGGTGCAGGCATGGAGGTAGCAATCACACAAGCAGTGTCCACTTCTTGCAATTCATTACCCTCTTCTTTATAAAAAAAAAAATACCCTTGTTTTGCTCCTCTGCATTGTGCTTATATTGACCTGGATCCATGTTCCCATTGCCTGGAATGCTTGTAACCAACTGAGAAACTTACTGAGCACCTACCATATGCCAAGCATTGTGGTAAGTACTAGTAAGACATTGGTAAGCAAAAGACCGCCAGCACTGAACTTGGAACCTAGGTGAGTATGTGAATGTGAATTATCAAAAAAGTGAACGGGGACTTGCAACTATGCTAAAGTCTGTGAAGATAGGCACAGCTATGACAGTGGAACATGACCCAATCTGGGGTGAAGGAGGGGTAGTCAGAGAAGGGGAAATGATTCCAATTGTAATGTGACAGGTAAGAGTTAACTGGCAGCAATGGGTTGGCAAAACTGGGATGAACTGTCCAAGGCAGTTACCCCAGAATGACACACATTGTTGGGCTTCTTATTCTTTCCCCACCCCACTCCCAGCCAGAGCAGCGACATTGCTGCTAGTAGAACTCCAGCTTAAAGAGGTAGATCAAGGAGATCATAGTTATCAGGAGTGACTCACTGGAGGTCCTACTTTGTAGTAGTCACAGGAGGCAAAGACCCTAATAGGGCTGAACAAGAATCCCACCATAGGTTGAATAGGAGCAGAGCATTATCTTTAACCCCAGTGCAGTACAAGGGAAGGTATTGTTTAGAATGATTACACCTTCCACATGTAAGATGTTATGCAATTACCCAGTACTTGCAAATATGTCAACCTCTTCCCAGCCACCTTTACAAGTCACGTTCAACTTGATACTGTTCCCTGAACCTCTGATGCACTTTTAAGTCTCTGTACATGCATCCTGGACCCCACAAATGCCCAAACCCCTTAAGGTTACCAGCCAGATTCCTATTAGCTAGTTATTTTCCCTCAGGTGTAGAGAGTTGAGTTAACTTTGCTCCTCGTTTCTCAGCATATATTGTCATTATAAGTCCCTACAAAGCCCCTTTACATAGTTTGTATTTATTTTTCTTATCTTTATCAGCTCCTATTCTATTCTTCTAGGCACAAACTACAATATGTTTGATATAGATCCTTGTTAATTTAAGACAAGTAGTGTTTTGTGTATGCATTCTACACTTACAGAGATCATATTGGATTGTGAATCTGTTCCCTACTATTTTACTCAACACTATGTTTTTGAGCTATTTCCACAATGTTGTGTATACACCTACTTTGTTGCTTCTGGCTGCTCCCGAATATTTCATAGATTTTACTGACACATATCCCTAGTGATGGGGGCATCTAGGTTACTGCCAACTCCCTGATTTCATACTGTGTGGTAAAAACCCTTGCGAATGTCTGTACCAACCTTTGCAAAAAATTCTCTTGTGCTCCTATAGAACTTCACGCATATTTCCTGCTTCCTCATCACACTGGTTGGCATATAGCAGAGACCCAATAAATGTTGAATACCTATACTATGGTGCTTAATGTACTGGAATTATTTATTTATATTTCTGTTTCCCTCATTGGATTGTTAGTTCCTTCCAGACTGGGAAGATGTCTTATTTATCTTTGTGTCCCTGTCACATTAAAAATGTTGATTTCAAGATATGTTTAATGAATGAATAGATGTTTATTCTCACTACTGGTACATACTATAGGAGTCTTGCCGACCTGACTCTGTATTTCAGTCTTACTCAGATATCTAGCTTTTGAAATTCTCCCTTTCACCATAGCTTACCTGAATTCAGAGACTGAGCTCAGCCCTAGTCATAAGCCTGCTCTTCCTATATTCTTATTTCTCTCTTTCTCTCTGTTACTGGCAACCTTTACTTTCAAGTTAAAACTGAGTCATTTTGATTATCTTTGTCTCACACATCTAATCCATCAGCAGAGTCCCAAATCTGTATCTTACAACTTGTGCTACTAAAACCCTAGTCCAAGCCATCATCCTCACTTACCTGGATTATGGCAGCAACTTCTTCACCAGTGTATCCCTGGAGCCACTCTTCACCTCTCTTATTAACTCTCAGCACAGGAGACAGAATGCCCCTGTTCAGGTGTCAATCAAGTTACTCTGCTGCTCAGTACCTTCCAATGGCTACTTAAATCTCTCAGATTAAAAGCCAGAGTCTATTTATTCTGGCCCCGGGGCCCTATACACTCTGGCTTTTGTTATCTTCTCTATCTCACCTTCTACCTTACCCCTTAACTCAATTCCAGCCATAATGATTTCTTTGCTGTTCCTTGAAATTACCAAGCAAGTTCTGTCAGTCTCTCCTCACTAGGATGTGAGCTCAGTAAAAACAGAGATTTTCATTTCTTTGATTCACTGCTCTCTCCTAGTGCCTACCATAATGTCTGAAACATAGTAGATGTTTACTAAATATTGAATAAATGAATGAATATGTGTTGAAGACCTGGATGAGGTCAAGTAGGTTCCCATGCCTATATTTACCTGATAGTGGAATGATGCTTCAGTGCTTTTATCCCTGCCTTGGCCCCTGGCTTCCATTAAATTACTGCCCATTGTCTTTGCATTGATTTATTCATGTTATTTTCTGCTTCTTCACAATTTGAGCCCTCACAGTCTTTTTCATGCCTCAGTCTCAGCTGAAATGCCTTCTGCCCCTTCCAACTCCTATGTACCTATCAGGACCCAACAAAAGTCTCTCATGATACTTTTTCTTATAATATCACCTCACCTTGACCTTGCCTTTTTTATTATAAAAATGTTAGATAATAGATTTCATTTTTTAGGACACTACTAGATTTATGGAAAAATTATGCAGTTAGTATAGAGAGTTTCCATACCACTACCTTAACCTCCCCTCCTTCCTATAGTTTCCCCTATTATAATTATAAAATCTTGCATTATTGTGGTACATTTATTACAAGTGATATATTATTATTAACTAAAGTCTATAATTTACATTAAGGTTCACTGTTTGTGTTGTACAATTCTGCGTGTTTTAACAAATGCATAAAGTATCTATGATTACGGTATAATACAGAATATTTATATTGCACTAGAAATTCCCTGTGCTTCATCTATTTTTCTGCTTTACCCCCCAGCAGTGGCAATCACCAGCCTTTTTACAGTCTATATAGTTTTGCTTTTTCCAGACTGTTGTATAGTTGGAATCATATAGTATGTAGCCTTTTCATGCTGTTCTTTTCCCACTTTGCAGTATGCATTTTAAGATTCTTTTATGTCTTTTCATGAGCCTTTTTCTATCGTGGAATAACATTCCACTGTACGGATATGCCACTGTGTATTCCTGTAACTATTGAAGAGCATCTTGGTTGTTTCTAGGGTATTTTTTTGTAATAATTATAAGTAAAGTTATTGTAAGCTTTCTGGTGTAGATTTTTGTAAGGACGTGTTTTCAACTCATTTGAGTACATATCAAGGAGCACAATTGCTGGATAATAAGGTAATGCTATATTTGGCTTTGTAAAAAACTTCCAAATGGTCTTCCAAACGCTATACCATTTTGCATTTTCACCAGCAATGAATAAGAGTTTCTGTTGCTCCACATTTTTGCCAGCATTTGATGTTGCCAGTGTTTTGAATTTTCACTATTCTAATAGGTGGGTAGTAGAATCTCATTGTTTTAATTTTGCAATTCTCTAGTGACATGTTGGGTATCATTATATGCTTATTTGCCATCTGTATATTTTCTTTGATAAGGGGTATGTCCAGATCGTTTGCCTATATTTAAATTGGATCGTTTTCATTTTGATGAATTTTAAATTCTTTGTGTGTTTTAGATACCATCCTTTTATCAGACATGTTTTGCAAATAGTTTCTCATAGTCTGTGATTTGTCTTTTCATTCACTTAATAGTATCTTACACAGAGCAGAAAAAAAATTTTTTTAAGAGAGTCTCACTTAGTCACCCTGGGTAGAGTGCAGTGGCATTAATAGGTCACAGCAACCTCAAACTCTTAGACTCAACCTATCCTCTTCCCTCAACCTCCAGAGTAGCTGGGACTACAGGCACTCACCATAATGCTCAGATATTTTTTAGAGACAAGGTCTTGCTCTTGCTCAGGCTGGTCTTAAACCTGTGAGCTCAGGCAATCTACCCACCTCTGCCTCCCAGAGTGCTAGGATTACATGCCTGAGACATCGCACCCGGCCCACAGAACAGATAT